GCAAGGGCTGGGCTGGGCCCAGGACGCAGGCCGGAGTTCAGGGAGGAGCTGGAGGAGCTGGGGTAGTGGTCGCAGAGCGGTTTGTGGGGTCCGTGTGGGAGTCCGTTTGGGGTCTTGGTTACGGGCTGGGGGCCGAGCGCCGTGCGCGGGGCTGGTGCTAGGCCAGAGTCCGGGGCAGGGACCAGGTCACGGGTCGTGGCCCAGGTCAGGGTCGTAGGTCTATGGGCTGGTCAGGATTACGGCCTGAGTCTGGGGCTGGGATCCCGGCTGAGTCTGGCCGGGACCGGGGTCTGGCACCCGGGCGGGGCTGGGCTCGCGGGCCAGGGTCGGGGTCCGGGCCGGGAGACCAGCTGGCCTAGCCCGCACTGCGGAGGCCTCGCCCTGCCCTCCGCCCCGGGTCGTTAACACCAGGAAGTGTGGATCCTGTTCTCGGGGTGTGTTTGAGAGCTCCGGTTCTCGGCTTCATAGGCCTGAGTAGAGACAAATTCAGAAGAAATTAGGGAAGAATCAAACGAAAGATCCCATGCGTTCGAAATAGAGCTGTATTTACAGTGGAGAAAGGCACAGGTTAGGATTCTCTTTTCTCACCTGTGCCTCGGTGATCTGTACTCAGAACATAAACGGCTGAGTTCTCCAGACTTAAGTATCATTTTGTATTGCAGTTCTTCGTGCAGGTAATCTTGCTTCCTCTTCATTTTTAACGTAAACGGCCATAATTTCTGGCAGAGGTGAAACTTAAGGAAATTATCTATAGGGCAGATCTTGTGCGTTGTAGACCTTCTTCCAGGCTGCTCTGTAATTGTCTTAACCAGAGTGGAAGGTTGAATTTTTTAATAACTGAAGGAAGGGGTTCCTTGGACTTTGCAGTAAAATTAGTTTGTGTGAGAAATTTTTTTGAACGTTAATGCCAACTGAAGGTGAATATTGTAAAGTAAGAATATAACTTATTTTCCCTTTTGAAAGTTGCTTTCTGTCAGGATGTTTAGCTGGCCTGTTTTAAGTTGTGTACAGTATTTAAAATGCACTTGCAATAAATGGTAAATTTAGTTTGTTAAAGCGGGTGGGGGGTGGAAAAATGATTTCTCTCTCGTGGTCAAATAGTATGCAATATGCAATTTCTACTTCCCCACCTGCCTGGATCACTCTAATTGACAGGGTAATTTACAGAAGTTGGAGTGTTTGCACTTTTCAATTTTTCTGTTTTTAATATACTGAAAGACGGTTTTACAACTGAGCTGTAAGAAATAGAAGTTATCAAATTAGTAAGCTTGTTATTCAGTTGTATATTTGTGTACTGTGTGTGTTTTCCTTCTTTGAAACTTACATTTGATTAGAAATAATCAAATAATCCAGTGTTTTAAAAGTTAATGTGAATTGACTTGCTTATGTGAAAGATTACCTCTTGGTCAGTGTACCCTCTTGGTGCTTTAGTTTCTGTTTCTGAAAGAGCTGTTGTAACATGTTGATGAAGACTAGTTTTAGTATTTTTAAAAATTTCTGAGATTCTCCAGATTTTTAAAGTGTTTACTGTTTTCAGTATTTTCTGTTGACTGTTATTTTAATTTATTAGAGTTTTTTTTTTTTTTCCTTGATTACATGTATCTGGGTAGAGACAGCAAGTTTAGGGGATAGAATGTATTGGAGAAATGAGTTGAACTGTATTTAAATAAGAGCCACAGAGAAAATAGATGATATTTGGGTACAAGTTTCCTAGCATTTGTTTTAATAAGTGGCAATACAGTCAGGGAGAAATTTGTTTTTCCGGAATGTTGCTAGCAATTGCACTTAAAAAACAAGGTTTGGAGAAATTATTGTGCTTACTATAATTTCCACGAATAAGGGCAAATTTGACAAATAGTGTTTAAACTCTGGAGACAAATATTTTACTTCTTAGTCACTTGCTTTTATAAAGCAATCTTAAAATCATAAAACATGATTCTAAATTACTTAGTGAAAGTTGGGAACATCAGGTTGTTACAAACAGTAACAGTGTGTTCAAGTAGCCCTGCTTCTCTGCATAGATTTGCAACAGTCTTTACAAGCACTTGTAGTGATAGACCTGTGGTTGATGTTACTAATGGACTGACAAGCTTCTTTTTGGCTGTTATTTCAATGTCTTGCTTGAGTTCATAACTTTCCATAGTGGTAACTAGGATTCCAATTTAAGATTTCAATTTAGTAACTTGTTATTATATGTGTGAAGGTATTTATAGCTATATGTTAAATTCCATATTTTTGTTGTCCTTATGTTAAAGGTACAGGTTTTCAATAAAATTTTATAACACATAGTTGAGCTGTTGCAGAATTCTTTCATATTTAAGAATTTTCTTACCAGAGTGCTAAATGCAAGAAAATCTCAGTATATTATTGTAACTCTTCCTGTAAGTCATTTGACTCATTCTTTTTCTAATGGGTAGAAGAAATAAGATACCTAAGTTACATTTTATGGGAAATAACAGTGTTAAAAATTGGACACTATTCTATGGGTTTTGTTGCTTATGCTCTTTGTAAAGCTTTATTCCTATAAAAAGTATTTCTTTTTATGTAAGAACTAATTTTAGAGAGTATACAGTAAATGAGGCCCTCTGTTCTGGTTGTGTTAGACTCACCAGATCTCAGGTCTGATTGTAGTTTTATTTCAATATATACTTTTTCATTGTTGTACTTGTTGATATCCTTGGATCTATATCTGGAATTATCTTAGTTAGAACATTAATTTCATTGTTAGGATAGACAATTGTAAGGTAGAAAGAAATACTTTAGTTTCTCTTTAAAAGAAGGATCATAATTCCAATTAAAAGTGTTTTTTCCTAATGTTCCAATGTATTATTTTTCTTACACATAAATGACTTCCTTAGGAAAAAGGGATATTATTAACTACACGTATTTTTTTCTTCCCTTAGCTTCTTCTCAGACCCCCACTCATCAATCTCCCATAACTTTTGTCCTTTAAGTGCCTTTATACGAACCTTTTCACCATTTTTTCTGGTGAACCTGTTCTGACTGCTCTGCTCTTTAATCATGAGGGGTTGTGGTGAGTCATACCACCACTCTGTGGGCCTTCTGTCTGACTCCTGTATTGTCAGACCTAGCACAGAGTGCATGTGTGACAAGAGGATATTTCATGTTTAACATGAATTTGTGAAACATGCTGCTTAATTTTTAGGGGAAGATTGATAATCACTGGGATGAAAGTAGGCCTTCATTGTTTTTATGAAAATTGTCTTTATGAAATCTGATAGGAAAAGTTTGGATTTAAAAACTGCTAAGTTAGGATGGTATTATATTTGTGTTATAAAAATAAAATGCTGCCTTACAGGTTTTTTATTTTATTATAAGTTTATTTTTTCATCATTTTTGTGCCTTTTCCCATCTCAGTTGTAACCTCTGTGGACTTTCCTTCACCAGTTCACCTGTGTGCCATCACCCGTGTACTCCACTCCCCCATTTTTGATCCTATTCTCCACTCCACTCCTGTAAAATGTTTCTGGTATATAGTTGTTCATTATCATTATTATTATCATTTCTCCCCCACCCCTTGTCCATTGTGCTCCTGCTATGAGTGAAACCATCTGATATTTTTCTTTTTCTTTCTGGCATATTTCATTATGATCCCTTCCAGCTCCATCCATGTTACTGCAAAAGGCATATGTGTTTATCTTATTTTGATAGCTGAGCAATATTCCATTGATACAACAGTTTTTTTTTAAGTCACATTATAGCCAGAGATCCCTTTATATATCAGCTTCTCCTGTTAAAAACTTTTAAAAAATATTTATGATGATTTATTTTATTTATGCATGCAGGTGCTGGGGTGTAGTTCTCAGTGGCTGGGGCGGGGGATGTTAGGGGGTGAGAGTATTCCTCTGAGACAGTGGGGAGCAGAACAGGTGGATTGACTGAAATACACTGCTGAGGGGAACAGACAGAAAGTAGAGGTCTGTGAGCCATGTGGGTTAGGTCCCTGGCCAGGAATGGAACACATGCTGCAGTGGCTGCTGATAGCTTCATAGTGCTGAAACTTAATGCCTTGCACCACCAGTGAGGTACCCAGCTTTATAAAACCTTATCTGGTGAGTGTCTTCTGAGTCTTATACTCACTGACTTTTTGCTCTTACACCCCCACCCCCAAAATCAAAGTGTTAACTTTTTTCTCCTTGGTTTCTTTGTTTGAAATTATGTGTCTGTGTGTTATATATTTAATTTAGCCCCTTAATTGACCCTTTAAAAGGTATTTCAGGAATCCTCACCTTAATTTCCAAGGTTGTGCTGAGTTCTCCGTTTCCTTGGCACCTAATTAATCCCTAATTAATCAGTGGAAGAAACTCCTTGTGTCAGTGATCCTTAATGTTTGTCACCTCTATGCTCAGCCCAAGCCCATGTCTACCATGAATATTTATTAACATTTATTCAACTGAGGGATGAAGGCATACCTAAAGACTCTGCAAGTCAGCTTTAAAGAGAAGTTATTTGCAGATAACACAAATTGGCATACTTTCATCAACAAAATCTTCCCTGGCAAAGGATACAAAAGAATGTTTCTCCTAGTACATAAAACAATATTTACAAGGATTTAACTGACTCAGAGCTATGTCTAGTACTTAATGTGTTTTAGGTGAAATAATTTAACTATGTGACTTCTAAGGCATATTTTCTTAGTCTTTATAAAATGCTGTCTTGATAACAAAAACGCCTGTCCTTATTTATTTTGCCTTAAAATTTAAAAAATTATATTAGCCCAAAGCAATTATAGTGAAAATATATTTTTTTCACTAAATTGAATTTTCCCAACTGGGAATCTTTGCTACAGGGCCTGGGACTGAGGAGGACTGAGAGGAATGAAAAGGAGTCATTCATTCCTTGAGCAGGTGTTTTAGAGCATTTTGAAACTCACAATAAAAAATTTGAGTGCTATCAGAACTTTAAGATTTGTGGTTTAGAAGGAATTGGAAAAAGACTTTTCAAAAAGATTTTATTTTGGGGCCCTCCCTGGTGGTGCAGTGGGTTAAAGCACAGCGCAAAGAACCTTTAAACCAACCACTTCCGCATGAGTTCTATCCCCACCTGCCCAGGAGGTGACCACATGGT